CTGGGCTGGAGGAGTTGGAGCTGGGAGCTGGGGCAGGAGTTGGAGCTGGGAGAGCAGGGCAGTATTTGGAGCTGGAGCTGGACCTGGAGCTGGGGCAGGAGTTGGGGCAGTAGTTGGAGCTGGGACTTGGGCTGTGGCAGTACTTGGAGCTGGGGCTGGGGCAGTAGCTGGAGCTGGGGCAGTAGTTGGAGCTGGGCCTGAAGCTGGGGCAGGAGTTGGAGCTGGGGCAGTAGTTGGAACTGGGAGTTGGAGCTGGGGCAGTAGTTGGAGCTGAGACTTGGGTTGGAGCTGGGCCTGGAGCTGGGCCTGGAGCTGGAGCTGGAGCTGGGGCAGTAGTTGGAGCTGGGACTTCGGCTGGAGCTTGGAGCTAGAACTGGGGCAGTAGTTGGAGCTGGGCCTGGAGCTGGGACTTGGGCTGGAGCTGGGGCAGTAGTTGGAGCTGGGATTTGGGCTGGGGCAGTACTTGGAGCTGGGGCATTAGCTGGAGCTGGGGCAGGAGTTGGAACTGGGGCAGTAGTTGGAGCTGGGATTTGGGCTGGGGCAGTACTTGGAGCTGGGGCATTAGCTGGAGCTGGGGCAGGAGTTGGAACTGGGGCAGTAGTTGGAGCTGGGATTTGGGCTGGGGCAGTACTTGGAGCTGGGGCATTAGCTGGAGCTGGGGCAGGAGTTGGAACTGGGGCAGTAGTTGGAGCTGGGCCTGGAGCTGGGCCAGGAGTTGGAGCTGGGACTTGGGCTGGGGCTGGAGCTGGGGCAGTAGTTGGGGCTGGGGCTGGGCTGGGGCAGGAGTTGGAGCTGGGACTTGGACTCGGTCTGGAGCTGGGGCAGTAGTTGGGGCTGGGATTTGGGCTGGGGCAGTACTTGGAGCTGGGGCTCGGGCATTAGCTGGGGCTATAGCTGGGGCAGTAGTTGGAGCTGAATCTGGGGCTGGGGCAGGGGTTGGAGCTGAGACTTGGGCTGGGACTTGAGCTGGGTCCAGAAGTCACATAGCGCTCAGATCACGAGGGCGGACATGTTGATCAAAAGGCTGGACCCTTGTGGTTTGGGGCAGATACCAGAGTTTACCCACCGCTGTGCCTCTTGTTGTCTTCTCTGTGAACTGGCCTGACCTGACTCTGAGTGTCTCTTAGGGATGAAATAATAACCAAAATATCTTGATATATTTTCGTCAAAAGCATGAAGTATTATTGCAAGTTTTTTTTACTTAAATGTGAATTGTTTAACTTTTTTGCGTCCGTCAAATGCTTTTCTCCATGGAAATGTCATTGCTTTGTCTTTAAATGTTTCACAGTATGGCTTTAAACCTTTCTATCTTCACGGAGACCAAACCAGACCAAGTTACAGGTCAGATCTGTGGAGAGGCGACCCCACTCACGGTCAAAATCCCTGCTTTTCTAAGTATTTTTGAGCTATTACACCACCTACAATTGAATAAACGTAAGGTGAAGCTGCTTAATGTCACACTGTGGAACATTTCAGGCAGAGCAATGACATATCTGATGGATCCACGATCAAAAAGTTACACAATGTTTCTTTAAATTCATTGTTATGGTGCAGCAACAGCTAAAAACAAAGAACTACATAGACCATGATCCTTTGCTCTGGTTCAGTCCAATCCACATGATGAAATAACCGTTATTTACATTTAAATTGTTTGGGTTATGAAAGAAAAGTATCATATTCATAATTTTGCAATAAATGACGTGAGAATATTGGGAAAATATTGACAGATTTGGATATCGTTAACTTTTTAGTATCTCCGTCTGTGTGTTCCAGGGTCACGATCGTTTACAATAGCTCATGTTTCATATTGTTTTGTTGTATTTTATGAGGTAGTAGTGGGAAGTACTGCGCAATTTTGAGGGGAAAAATTATAATTGCAATAAGATTTGTTTGAAAAGCAGGATTATGTTGTACCCTGTAAAGTCCAGAAGCATTAACATTTGAGAAAAGACTGAAATCTGAACTGCTGAACTAATACAAGAATTTCAGTCATTTCAGAACAAGTTTGTAGAAATCTAAACTGCAGATACAAAGGGACTTTTCTATAAAAACATTTTTGAGGTTCTGTATTTGAACAGCAAATTGGGGAAGCAAACACCCACCAACCAAAGAGTAGCTGGTTCTAATCTTGTCTGTAGGAAAATGCTGGATACACGATATATGTTTTAAAACCACAGTGACATTTTTGAACAAACTGAAGCACTTTCCAACACAAATATTTTTTTTTTTTTTTCAATTTTGTCACATATATATATAGGAAATAGTTGAACCTTTCCTTAAAGATGTACTGTGTAACTTTTTTGGTGGAGCATCTGCCTACATTTTCTCCATTGCTTAGCTTGGAATGTTTCACAGTATGGTATTAAATGTAACTATCTCCATGGAAACAAGCAAGAGATACTGGTCAGAAGTGTTTTTAGAGCAATATAAACATCCATAATTAATGAATGGAAGGTGGATAAGTTTAACGCAGAGTTCCCACGGTCTTGGAAATTCCGTAGAAATTGAAAAAAGTCATGGAATTTTTACTATCTCTTTCATGCAACTACAGCGTTTTGTTAAGTTCTCATTAGGCTGTTATGATTATTTCCAAACGTTTGCGCCTTTTGTTTAAAAGAGACGACAATAAATGCACTGATAATATTTTGAATGTTAAAAAACTAGAATACCAAACCATAAGGTGAGTGAAAAGGGTTAACATTTCACATTTAGCCCTAAAAGTATGGTCAGTTCTACACATGTAGGTGCCGTAAAGTCATGGAAAATTCACTTTAGGTCATGAAAATCCATCGGTTTCACTTTGTAGAAACCGTCAGACCTCACAGCATTAGGATTCGTTTGCTCGACAGTAGGCGGGTACTTTTTTATGTAACCAGTCGCTGCTATTTGGTCGTGACGTATGTGAAGCGCCACTAACGGAGATAACTGGTATATTAAGCTTTTCCCAAATCCCGTAGGAAGAAGGAGAATAACGTCTTTCCCCTTGATAAAATTCACCGAACATTCTCTTTATTCCGGCTTTAAATCCTCGATCTCGGGAACAACACAGTTCAGAGAGATTTTTTGAATGTGTTTTTGAATCGAAATCCTCCCTTTTTTGGTATCTGTCCTTGATTGGAATGAAAGGAGATCCACTTGTGACTAATAATGTTGTCATGTATGGCTCTTCGCTGATTGGCTGGTGCCCGGACTCGCACTTCAGGAGTTTTTGCGAACCATCTATTGTATTCCGATTCCTGACCTAGTCGCTGGAGAGAAATGAAATTGAGCGGAGGCACTAGGTCACACCAGCCTGGCTAAAAAAGTCATGGAAAAGTTTTGAAATTGTCAGTGCAAGAGTGAGAACCCAGAACTGTGAAACATTTCGGACAAAGTATTATCATCTCAGGTGGTGGACCCTCTACCAGAAAAGTTACACAATGCACCTTGAATTGTTTTAGAATCAGAAAAGTTTTTTGTTTAGTTTATGCAACGTTTTCAGTATTGACACTTCATACGAGTGTGTACCATTCATATTAGTGTTTCACGGCTCTAGTCTTTACTGTTGAAGTCTTCTGTGAGTCATTTGTTGTTTACCTTGTGAAATCCGTTGCCAAGAAAACCTTGTGTCTTCTTTGGCCGATTTCCATCAACAGTTTAGCAGTTTTCACATCCTCTTCAGTTCAGAGAGATTTGTTGAATGTGTGTTTTCTGAATCGAAATCCTCCCTTTCTCGGTATCTGCCCTTGATTGGAATGAAAGGAGATATACATTTGACTGACGATGTTGTGATATCAAATGTTAGGCTTGAAGAAATATTTTGATTTTTATCTGCACCATGACAACACAAACAAAAGTGAAATATCCTTATCTACAGTGTGTTCATTCACATTATCCAAAAGTTTACAGTTTCTTGTCTAGTGTTTGACCAGTTTTATAATCAAACTTAATCATAAAAGTAAATAAGTTATGTTTATGGCGCATCCATGTATCATTCGTTCATTCTGTTTTTCAAAATAAAACCAAAAATAAGGAAATGACAAAACAACTATTCTTCATTTGTCTCCAAAACCAAAATGAAAAAATTGATAATGATTTGTTTTTTGCACCGCATACGGACTGAACCAGGACTGAACCAGGACTGAACCAGGACTGAACCAGGACTGAACCAGGACTGAACCAGGACTAAACTGGTCTCAGTCCTGATCACCTGACTGTCTACGTGAGCGTACCGAACCCGTCCAGACACTCCTGGTTCAGACCTGTTTTAGTCCTGGTTCAGTCCGTGTGCGGCGCAAAAGTCCGACATCGCAGTTTAAGTTTCGGAAACGGGAAACGGCCATTATATGTTTTTTTCCATTATTCATTTGAACTGAAAATTTAAAACTGAAAAAATAAATCATTTTTCATTTTGGTTTTGGAGACAAATAATGAAGAAAATTTAATTTTTTTCATTTTCTTATTTTTGGTTTTATTTTGAAAAAGGAATGAACGAATGATACATGGATTATGACGCATCATTGTCTTGAAATGGCTTAGTTCATGTTCTGAAATTGTCATTATTATTATTTTTTAGTCCTTACAATTATGTTGTGACCATAGACTGTATAAATGCATCGTGTTCTAAATAGGAACCGTTCGTGGTTGCGCTTCTGGCTCCATCAACTCTGGTTCCAATTAACATTACGTTGAAAAATTATCGCCCTTTTCTCTGTAACTGCTGAGAGCCTCGTCACTTTAGTCTTAAAATATTTGTATTAACCCACTGTACATGATCCTGGTGTTTTTATTTAGCTATTTTGTCCGTAAATCAATTCATATTCCTATAACCGTGAGCCTCGATGAGCTTCATTTGACTGGAACATTATGGTCGACGTCACACTCCCTTGGTCTACTTCTTTAGACAGTTTGTGGTCGTGATTTGCTTCGTCACAACTGTCGATTAACCAACTAATACTGACGTTCCTATGGGTTACAACACATCAGGTTAATATATGTTTGTTTTGTTTTATATTTTGCAGGTGGAACAGTCTAAAGTCCTGGTAAAAGAAGGTGGAGTCCAGCTGCTGCTCACTATTGTCGGATACTCCGGGCTTCGGCGATGCAGTCGATAACAGCAACTGGTAAACTCAAATCAATCAATTTCAGTATAATTCTTATTTAAAGGGCTCATATTACACTATTTTCTGATGTTATAATGTCGTTTCCTCCACATGTTTAACACACAAACCTTCAACTCCACACACCTTCACTAGAATTATTTGGATAATTTCAGCCCCAGAATTGCAAATCTCCACTGAACTAAAGGTAAAATGAAGCTGTTAACTTGAAAATTATGGCTTCATGACATCACAAGGTGGAACAAAACATTTTGAGCTTTCGAGATGTAAACAGACTAATAATAAAGTGTTACTCAAACATGTGTGAATGAAATAAAACACAACTCCAGGTCTGTTTTTGAGGAGGTAACAACATTCTAACACAGTGTAAAGCTCACAAGAGTCAATTCTTTGTAATATCGGACCTTTAAACAACCTACTCTCTCTTCAGCTGGCAGCCGGTCATCGATTATATTGATAATAAATTCGAGGATTACCTGAACGCAGAGTCCCGGGTCAACAGGAGACAGATGCCTGATAACAGAGTCCAATGCTGCCTGTACTTCATCGCTCCCTCTGGACATGGGTATGTTCTCACACATGTACTCACACTTTTCTGTCCAGAAATGGTCTCTTTAAAGGTGCATTCTGTAACTTTTTTGGTTAATATACATCGAGTGAACGAATTCTAACACTGCGAGGTCAGACGGTTTCCACAAAGTGAAACCGTCTGATGAATCGGGCTACGCTGTCCCTGCTAAATAAAACAAAAACCCCAAAAAACTACAGCTTCATGACATCACAAAGTGGAACAGAGCATTTTGAGCTTTAGAGATGTAAACAGACAAATAATAATAATTACTCAAACATGTGTGAGTGAAAAAAAACAACTCGAGGTTTGTTTTTGATGAGGTAACGACAGTATAACATGGCTTAAAGCTCAAAAGAGTAAATTTTGTGTAATATAGGGCCATTAATTATCAATGAACCATTATATATTTAATTTTTTTACACTAGAGCAGTCTTTATTTTGAGCAAACCGTATGAAAGTAAAATCCATCTGTGGCTATGCACCATTTATTTTATTACTTATGAAATTTATATCCATTATGTTATTTTCCTCATTTTTCTGTGAACCACAAAGTAGAACAATTGTAGCAGCCCTATAAATTACAGCGCCCGGAATATAACATAAAGTCCCATAAACCATAAGAGCGTTTAAAAGCTGTTTCTGGATTTGAGAGGCTCAGATTTACTGTGTGGTCTGAAGTCTCCAGATGTGCGCGCTAAGGTCAGCCAAGCCATGAAAAATCTCCCCCACCAACACCGACCGAGTGTCCCCTGTCTCCTCTGAGCATCTGCACGATCAAACCGCCGCTTCTGCCGCTTCAAATCAACTTTAGTACTGAGATAAGATTAGATTAGTGGGTTAATTTGTGATTGAGGTTTTTAAAAAAGTAGGATTCAGTTCGCAGTGCACTTTGTAAACAACTCCAGCAGTGTTAAAATCTGAGAGAACCAAATCCTTCTGACCGATTTACGCACAAGGAAAATATTTATCTGACAGTTTAAACATTAAGTTAACAAAATAGAGGCGTTGCTTTTTATTATTTATCTTTATGTGTCTAATTATAACCATTGTGTAATTTAGACAAGTGTTAACATGATGGTTGATATGTAACCGTGAAGGAATTACAACCACAAAGTCCAATTACAAACAACACAAAAATTTACAAAAATACTAAGACTGTTATCGAAATCTGAAATACAGGGTGTCCCAAAAAATTCACAGGCTTATAATTTTGGCAGTTCCTTTTGAAATAATGTCAAATTTTCACAGAATGTACAGAAACACATTAAGATTTTATATTTAATGTTTTATTTTTGTTCTGTTTCCACTTTGAGCCGTTCACTCCCAAAGAGAAGTGATTTTGCATCCTGGAATCTGCTCGCACACACTCACCCAAGACTGTGCGGCATGTCTTCAATGCAAAATATGGAACAAACTTCACCAAATGGCAAACAAATTTGGACTTGGTACCAAAAATTTAAAGAGCAAGGATCTTATGCAGGGCTTAAGGATTACATATGTGTGCGAGCAGATTCTAAGATGCAAAATTCTGTTTTCCGGTTGAGCCATTCACTGCCAATGAGAACAGAAATAAAACATCAAATATAAAATCTTGATCTATTTCTATACATTCTGTGACAATTTGAGGTTATTTTCAACACAAAATGCCAAAATGATTGACCTGCGAAATGAGCTAATAAAATTTTTTTGGGACACCCTGTATAATGATGTTAACTAGTTTAACATGTATATGACATATGCACTTTAAACCAGTGGTGCCCAACCTTTTTTCTTGTAAAGAGCGGTAATACACAAAGTTTTTTCAGGGGCCAGTGGAGGTGGGCAGGACCAGAAATAACTTCTCAAAATGCTTATACCTCTTAACCATAGTTTGTAAAAATGGTCTTAATATCCATGTGAGCTGTTTAGGTTAATTTGTAGTATATTTAGGTAAATTTGCACTAGGGCTGTCGCAATAACTGCAAAAATGAATCACTGGGGCACTAAGAGGTCCAAGGCAGTGGATGTTGGGCCAACGCGACCAACGTGACCCGACCCAGAGTCCTGCATGGGTCCATTTTTAGAAACCCGCACCCGCCCGGACCTGTTAACATTCCACCTGTTACCACCCGTGATAACCCAGGACTAACCCAGGACTAACCCAGGACTAACCTAAGACTAAGGTGCGCCCGCGTAGACCGTCAGGTGACCGTAGGCGAAAGGACCTGCGCAGAGCTCCACGCCGCTTGGAGTTAAGTGCGGCCGTCGCTCGATAGCGCTTTGCGGACACCTGCTCTGCGTACTTGTGCTAGGGGCTCTCTCTCTCTTAAGTCTGCGAGTACCCGACCTGGTGCAGGACTCTGACCTGCGCTGCCACAGTGAGAGCTGGAGAGATGCAGTGGCACTTGTTCCAAAGCCAAATGTTACTTCTCCCACACTACACACACTATATCCACTAGGCATGGGCATGATTAGTCGATTAATCGATAATTGATCATTAAGAATTTCATCGATTACGTTCATTTTAATCGACAAACCGAATGTAGGTTGCTGTGTGTAGCGTAGGGTGACCAAACAGGTGTGTACATGTGTCTCTCTGCACTCAGAAGGAACGAGACACAAACATTCGGTCAGTCTGCAGCGTACCGAAGCACAAATACGTATTTAACGATGACTTGTACAAGAAATTCCACTCTTTCCGTTGCGTTCGGGACAAGTGTGAGTCCATGTGCACAGTGTACAAAGCAGCACATATGTTTCGGTGTCCAGTGGAAAAAAGTTTTGCCAGGTGAGAGTTGCTCAATGTCGATGACGAGTCTCCACCTCCCTCCCCCCGTACGGTGTCCTGGTTTTGACAAACGCAAATATGGTCACACTGACCTGTATTCCACTGAATCATGTCTTTTAATCTGACAGAAATTGACCGCATCAGCGACACAAGAGCTGTATTTTTATCTTCGCTGAGTTTATGCAAATTAGCGATGCGGTTTTAAGTTTCGTTTCTGTGAGAGTTGCGCAAAACTGAATTAAACACATTAAAATGTCAAACGGATTGATGTGGCTCTAGACTCGTTACGGTTTATATGTTGTAAAGTTGAATTTATTTATGCAGATTAGTAGTGCAGATAGTAATAATAATGATGATCATTTTAATATAAAAACGCTAATGATTAATCGATAATCGATTGTTAATTCTTCCGACGATCAATTAAGAAAATTTCATCAAATGCCCATCCCTAATATCCACACGACAACCAAGCTACATGTGCATCTGCAACAACAAGCTCATCATCGGAGACAGTTTTCAGAGCAGCTGGAAATATTATAACTCCGGGGGATGGGGGGCGGAGGAGGGGGTGTGATATCATCATATACCGCGCTGTTGAGCCGCTATACCGCACCACAGGAGAAATTCCCTAACCGTGACAGCCCTATATTGCATCATGTTTTAAAATAAATATAAATATGTAAATGTGATGGTAGACTAAAATAAGTTTTACTGCTTTTTTATATGACAGTAATAATAATTTTCTCAGTGGTTGGTTACCTCTGCTTAGAGGTACTGTGAGTGGGCTGTAGACAAGTAAATATCTCATCATCGCTCTCTGTCTCTCCTCTCTCTCCTCTTGTCTCCTCTCTCCCCTCTTGTCCCCTCACTCTCCTCTCTCTCTTCTGTCTCTCCTCTCTCCCCTCTTGTCCCCTCACTCTCTTCTCTCTCCTCTCGTCCCTCTCTTTCCTCTGTGCATCCGCAGACTCAAACCTCTCGACATTGAGTTCATGAAGAGGCTCCACGAGAAGGTGAACATCATCCCCCTGATCGCCAAAGCGGACACCATGACCCCAGAGGAGTGTCAGCAGTTCAAGAGACAGGTGAGCTCCTTTTTTGTCCCTCTGTCCCCTTTGTATGTCAACAGTTCAAGAGACAGGTGAGCTCCTCGTGTGCCGTTTTTGTTTGCCCTTTAACCACTCAAATGCTCAAATGTGTCTCTTTTAACACATGTTTTACGTCTGTCTGCTCCAGCCTGTAACTCCTGCACCTCTGCTCCTCTGCACCTCACACTAACTTTTTACGGCTCCATCTGTGAGTCTGGCTTCAGCTTCCTCGGTTTCAGCAGCATATTTGTACGTTCGGAACAGGATTTTCAAGCTCCTTTCAAATTGGTTAAGCTCACTGATCTGACAGATGGAGATGAGTAATTCTAAACCTTTCTTTATGAAGTTCTGCCCGTCATAGTGTTCGACGTACAACCTGAAATACCTCTAGACTTCAAAACTACATCTTAAATTTTATGTGACAGGTGTTCGTGTTTTCCTAATTGTTACTTGGTGTGATCGGAATGAAAAACATCACCCAAAACACATTAGGTTATGTGTTAAATCGGTATTTTCAGTGTTAAAATCATAATTACTGTGTTGCTTAAACAGGCGTTGGCCTTTGTTTACATTATGGTTGCTGGGTAATAGTTATGGAATTAGCTCTGCCTACTTTATGTCACAACTGCTTATGTCCAACAAGTATGTCAAGTCATTAACTTCACCAAAATGCTCAACGTCGGGAAAACTAGGTCAACTCTAATGCAAACTTTTTATTATGTTATCCACGTTTTAATTGTTTTTTTGGGTAGTCTTACATGTCATACGCACTTTAAACTGAAGTTAATCAGTGTTTTATCAGGCTCTTTTTTCAGACTAAGAGTTTGTTTTCATACCTGACGATTTCGACTGCTCCCTGTGGTCTTCCTCAGAGTCACGTGATGTTGCTGTACAGAAAACTCAGGCAATTACTCGTCCACCTAAAAAACAAAACCGAACCGGAGCATAAATGTAATGTCATATACTGTATTTACCGGACTATTAGACGTGCTCTTAAGCCTCTAACCCCATCAAAAATGACTGCGCACCACAATCCAGAGCGCCCCATACATGAATCCACTCAGGTGTCCCAGCACGACTTCAGTAAACTACAAAGTCGCACCACCGGCAGCGCACGCAAACACACACAGAGCAGACAGGACCGCACAGCGAAACACATCCACAGACACACTCATCACTCCACGCCGACGAGGAACGGAACGGAGGAACGAAGTAACATAAACAGATCAGAAAAATTTTCTTTGAGCTTCACCAAAAGTATAATTTACAATGAAATGTGTAATGTAACTGTAGATGAAGTGGCAAACTGCAGAGGACTCAACTTTTCTGTGAATATTTGTCCAGTGAAACTTTAAAATCTGGAATTTTCCTTTGTCAAAAATGCTTCGTGCCTAATCATTTTTAAATGACTGAACAATGAACAAATAATGTAAAACACACTTGTAAACGTTTTCAAATGTTTTCAAACCAGGCTCTGGCCTCACTCACGTGTGTCTGTATCAGAGTGGTTTTCATTTTGTCAAATTTCCCTTGATTTTTCATATTTTATTATAATTAATCCCAGTTTTCCTGTTGAAATCACATTATGTTCCACTTCACTTTTGCCTCCAGATGCCTCCATTCCAGAATTTTGAAAGTTTTTTTTTAACATTTTTTGAAGGGTCTATAGCTATGTTGTCTTAGTTTTTACAACAACAACTAATTGACAACTTGAAAGGCGCACTATGTAACTTTTTTGTGGAGGGTCCATCACAAATGTCATTGCTCAGCTTGAAATGTTCCACAGTATGACCTTAAACTAGTCAGGCTGGTGCCACCTAGTGCCTCCGCTCAATTTCATTTCTCTCCAGCGACTAGGTCAAGAATCAGAATACAGTAGATGGTTCGCAAAAACCCCAGAAGTGCAAGTTTGGGCACCAGCCAATCAGCGAAGAGGCAGATATTCTGTATTGGCAACGATTCCCGAGATCGAGGATTTAAAGCCGGAATAAAGAGAATGTTTGGTGAATTTTATCATGAGGAGAGACGTTATTGTCCTTTTTCCTACAGGATTTGGGAACGAATCCTAATGTCGAGCGAAGGATTCCTAATATCAAGCGTACAAATCCTAATGTCGAGCATACGAATCTTAATGTCAAGCGTAAGAATCCTAATACCGTGAGGTCAGACGGTTTCTACGAAGTGAACCCGGCTCATGAATCAAGCTGACATTAAACAGCTCTGCCTTACATTTATTCAATTACAAGTGGTTTTTTAGCTCAAAAACACCTCGAAAAACAGACATTCTGACTGTGAGCTGGGTCGCCTCTCCACAGATCTGACCTGTAACTTGGCCTGGTTTGGTCTCCTTGAAAATAAAAAGGTTTAATGTCAGACAAACCAATCAAATGTCCACAGAGAAAAGCATTAGATGGACCTTCCACCAGAAAAGTTACTCAACACCTCTTCCCTCCTTCAGTGAACTTTAGTCTCATGTATATTTCAGTCACACAGTCTGTGAAAACACAAACAGGAAGTGAGTGTCATATTTTACACGCGTGATGAGCTCTTCTTTTCACCTCACTGCCGTTGCAACACTTCCCCTCATCACTGGTTCACTGTAGAATTGTATTGATGCTTTGTGAACACGTGTATAAGTCCAGTGCTTATTGACCTGTTTCTGTTGTAAATATTGGCGTTTTGGTCCGGTATTCTCTTGTTGTATTGATTAATCTGTCTCCTCTTTTTTTGTGTTTTTGTTATTTTCAACCCATTTCTGCAGATCATGAGAGAAATTCAAGAGCACAAAATCAAAATCTACGAGTTCCCCGAGACGGACGACGAGGAGGAGATGAAATTCGTCAGAAAAATAAAGGTGCGTAAGACAAATACAAAAATGCAAAAATATAGGTAAAGGTGCACTACGTGATTTTTTTTTTGGTGGGTTTTTGGGAGTAGAATACATGCCTGTCTCCATGGAGATGTAATTGCTCGGGCTGGAATGTTCCACAGTGCGACATTAAACATCTTTCTTAAATTGAGTTGATTATGTGTGATTTTATTGCTCATTTTTCCACAGATTTGACCAGTAGTTTGGCCTTGTGGTGCCAACTGCATTTCTCCATGGAGATACAGTTACAATAATTACAATAATTGTAATTCTATCCAGTGGATGCACCAAAAATTTACACAATGCACCTTTAAAATTGCAATAAATGTTTTTAGGCTTTTAAAGGGCCCATATTACTCTATTTTCTGATCTATGTTAGACTTAGAGAAACTTTATTGATTCGCAAGTGAAATTCTTTGGACACAGAAGCTCACACGTCACAATATAATATAATAACAAAGAGAGAAAATATAAATTGTAATAATACATTCTAAATGAGGCTATGTTTATATGACGACGGTCTGAACAGAAGACACAAAAGTGGCGTCGCGTCTTCACTTTTTATTCTGCTTTTAGACGAGTGTTTTCAGGAGGAAATCTGCGTGCATACAGCGACGCAAAAGAGTGTGGAATTCGATTGGGTATACATGTCAGGTAAACGTGTACATGACCTGAGCAGATCTGACTAGAGTTTTGCGTCTTGGGCAGTGTAGACAGAAACGCTACAGCAGAGCGTATTCAACTTTTACATTCTGGAGGGTGGTTTCAGATCTTTGCATTTTTAAGCCCCAAAAACACCGTCACCGTCTAAACGAAAGGCACTTCTGATAAAATATTTAGCTGTTTTTACCCCTAAGTAGTAAAAAAAGTAGTAAATAGTGTGTTATAATGTTGTTTCCTCATCACAAACAGACCTGGAGTTGTGTTTTGTTTCATTCCCACATGTTTAACACACAAACCCCGCATATTTTGGCTGAGTTCTTCCCTCAAACTTAAAACACGCTGTTCCACCTCGTGATGTCATGTAGTAATACAGGAAGTGCTCCACTGTGTTTTTAAACTCCATACATCTTTACTAGAATCATCAAAAGGTAAAAGGAGTTGTTAACTTGAAAACTGCAGCTTCACATGACATCACAAGGTGGAACAGAGCATTTTGAATTTGGAGTTGTAAACAGACTAATAATAATGAAGATGCCTCCATTCCCGAATTTAGAAAGTTTTAGTTTACATTTTTAAAGGGTCCGTATCTATGTTGTCTTTTTTACAATCAACTAATTGACAACTTGAAAGGCGCACTGTTAACTTTTTTGTGGAGGTTCTGTCATCTGTTTGTTTCTATGGAGATGTCATTGCTCTGTCTGGAATGTTCCACAGTATAGCATTAACCAGCTCCACCTTACATTTGTTTAATTACAGGAGGTTTTATAGCTCAAAAACACCTAGAAAAACAGGCAATTTGACTGTGAACGGGGCACAAGCGCATCACAAGGTGGAACGGAGCATTTTGAGGTTTGGAGATGTAAACAGACTAATAATGAACTAATAAAATGTTACTCAGACGTGTGACTGAAACAAAACACAACTCCAGGTCTGTTTTTGATGAGGAAACAACATTATAACGCTGCTAAAAGCTCAAATGAGTCAGTTTTGCATAACATGGGACCTTTTAAAATGCATCGGAACATGACACAGCCCCATAATTCATTCCTGGGCAGGTTTTATCACTTTTGTTATCCTACAGATCTTACGGTGTGGTTGGAAAAATGACACTAGTAAAAAGGATCTGGTGCATCGTTAATAGATTTTCCCTGTGGATATTTCCCATTACAATACCGTGTAATTAAGAATGCAGGCTCCCGCGCCCATCAGAAAGTGACATCATCTAGGGCTGCTTCATTATGGGAAAAGTTAATAATAGTGGGATCTGAAAAAAACATTTATAGACTGACAGATTTTAACCTGGAGAGGAAGAAAATACTTTTAATTCGCCTGCTTGCCCTGATGAAAACCACATCAAGGTCGAAACGCGTTGGTATGTCTCTGACTCCTATATTACACAAAATTAACTCTTGTGAACTTTAAACCATGTTATAATGTCATTTTGTTTTATTCACACTTTGAGTAATTCTGGATTATTAGTCTGTAAGAATATAACAATATCCAAATCTCAGTACGATATTTTCACTATATGCATCTCAGGGTACGATATTTATTGCGATATTTTGTGGAAGGCAACAAAATTGTGAATGTATTATGCTGCTTTTTCCTCTTAAAACACCTTGACAAGACTTAATCCAAAGAACTAAGACTTAAAAGTGTTTAGAACTGTTATTACCTCCGCCAAGGAGGTTATGTTTTTGCCGGCGTTTGTCTGTTTGTTTGTTTGTTTGTTTGTCTGTTAGCAACATAACTCAAAAAGTTATGGACCGATTTTGATGAAATTTTCAGGATTTGTTGGAAACTGATTTCATTTTGGGGGTGATCCGGAAGAAATCCTGGATTCTGGATCACTTTGAAATTTTAGTTAACATTTTGGTAAATGGGGCCAAAAATTTTGTTTCTCAAAATCTCAGTTAATTATTGACCAAACCCCATGAAATTTGACTCAGGGATGGACAATGGGATCCTCTTTCATATTCCAAAGGCTGATCCGGATCTGATCCAGAAGACTGATTTTATCGCAATTTATATAAAAAATGGGGGTAGTCCTTGGCGGAGGTCTGCGCTCTCTGAGTGCTTTTCTAGTTTCTTCATGTAGTCTTCACTGAAATGGAGCAAAGGATCATGGTCTATGTAGTTCACTAGCTATTGCTGCACCATAACTCTTAATTTAAGCAAAGAGACTTGTAATTCGATATATTGTGATGGTCCACGATATTATTGTGAGAACTTTGACGATACGATGTCATAATATTTTCATTATTGTTACATCCCTACCTGGCGATATATCGATACAGCAGTCCCCGGTATTGATACTGTATCATCGCATTAAACAGTATATATTGATATTTCGATATTTTTGCACACCCCTAGTCATTACTCTGTCTGGAATGTTCCACAGTATGACATTAAAACTCTAACTTATATTTATTCAATTACAGGTGGTTTTATAGATCAAAAATCCCCAGAAAAAAAGCATTTTCACTATGAGTGCGGTCGCCTAGCCTGATTCATCAGCCGGTTTCACTTCGTAGAAACTATCTGACCTCGCAGTGTTGGAATTAGTTCGTTTGGCGGTAGGCGGGTACTTTTTTTATTTAACCAATCACTGTTATTTGGTCGTGATGTATGTAGTGCACCGCTAACTGGTATATTGAGCTTTTCCCAAATCCTGTAGGAAGAAGGACAATAACGTCTTTCCCCTTGATAAACTTCACCAAACATTCTCTTTGTTCCGGCTTTAAATCCTCGATCTCGGGAAACGTTGCCAACACAGAATGTATGTCTCTTCGCTGATTGGCTGGTGCCCGAACTAGCACTTGCGGGGTTTTTGCGAACCTTCTACTGTATTCTGATTCCTGACCTAGTCGCTGGAGAGAAATGAAATAGAGCGGAGGCACTGGGTGGCACCAGCCTGGCTACCGGTCGCCATGAAGATAGAAAAGTTTATTACGATACTGTGAAACATTCCAGACAAAGCAATAACATCTCCACTGAGAAAAGCATCTGACGGACCCTCCACGAGCAAAGTTACACACTGCAACTTATAAATTAGACTTTCACTATTCATTTTAACTTCTTTCATATCAAACCGTGCCGGCCTGACCCTGTCCCCTGGCCTGTTTCCATACTGTATTATATCTGTTACTTCACAGACACTGGCCTGGGCTATATTTACACCGGAGCTATGCAACAGTTGTCCCCCTCCTCTCTCCACAGGATCGCTTGCCTCTGGCCGTCGTCGGGAGCAACACCATCATCGAGGTCAACGGGAAGCGGGTGCGCGGACGGCAGTATCCCTGGGGCGTGGCCGAAGGTGAGGGGTCAAAGGTCCTCAAACGCCGATCAATAAATAGGCCGGGATCGTGTGACAAAACGATATTATAGATTCACTATTGTTGACGCTGAAATTGAGCTGGACGGGTCGGAATTCTGTGGTGGAATTTCCGGGTTAAAGGTTCAGTATTACGGAAAATTGACTCCTTAGCCGTGTTATAATCTGCATACATCAACAAGAACTTAACTGGCCTATCCACATGACACAAAAAACTGTCAAAAGTTACATTATTTTTTCACAATATCCTCAAAAAGTGAAGCCATTATTCTTCTCTAAAGTGTAATTGTGGTCAGCTGAAAGGACAACTTTTGTGGATCACAGGTTTGGATATTTCTTCTATTCACAAAATACTTTTAAATCTCCCATAGAGTTATATACATATATCCCCCTGTACTACATCTGAGATCATGTTGTTGAAATAGTAGTAGCAGGTAGTAGTAGTAGTAGTTGTTCTAGCAGTTGTTGTTGTTGTTGTTGTTTTTCTAGCAGTGGTAGTAGTAGTAGTACTGTAGTTGTAGTAGTAGTTGTTCTAGCAGTTGTTGTTGTTTTTGTTGTTTTTCTGGCAGTGCTAGTAGTAGTAGTAGTAGTACTGTAGTTGTAGTAGTAGTTGATCTAACAGTTGTTGTTGTTGAAGTTGTTGTTGTTGTTCTAGCAGTAGTAGTAGTAGTAGTGGTAATAGTGGTAGTAGTAGAAGTTGTAGTTCTAGCAGTTTTTACAGTAGTAGTAACAGTAATAGTTGTAGTAGTAGTAGTTGTTTTCTTGTTGTGGTAGTGGTAGTAGTAGTAGTAGTAGTAGTAGTAGTAGTTGTTGTTCTAGAAGTTGTAGTAGTTGTAGTTGTTGTTCTAACAGTTGTTGAAGTAGTAGTAATATTAGTAGTAGTTTATCTAGTAATTGTTGTAATAGTAGTAGTAGTTGTTCTAGCAATTGCAGTAGTAGTTAAAGTAGTAGTAGTAGTAGTAGTTGTAGTTGTTGTAGTAATAGTAGTTGTTGTAGTTGTTACAGTTGTTGAAGTAATAGTACTTGTTCTAGCAGTTGTAGTAGTTGTTTTGGCAGCTGTTGTAGTAGTAGCAGTTGATTTAGCAGTAGTAGTAGTAGTAGTTGTTTTTCTA